CCCTGTGATTGCCAAACTCACCTTTCCACCCACGGCACCACAGAGCTCCTGCCACCATGAAAACCATCATAGCAGCCTGCTCCCAGAATCTCAGTGGTAAGAGATTCCCAAAATGAGTTGGGATGGATTTTGGGTCTCCAGCAATGCGAGGAGCTGGTGGTTGTCACTGTTGTCTGCTTGTTTGGGAGTGCTGAGGAGAAAGGGGGTGCTGGGAGAGATTTGAGGATAACTCCACGGGATTGAAATTTCGGACAACATTTGGGAATGTTACACACAAGATGCTCCTGCAAATTCCAATTGTTGGGTTTGCAGAGGCTGGGAGGGGGCTGACAGCAGAGCCCTGGGGGTTTTTTGTGTCTGTGGTGTGGACATTGATGGGGCTTTTGGAATAAGAGCTAGGGAAAAGATGTTTAAAAGCAACTGTTTGATGGGCACAAGTTTGCTGGAAAGAGCTCTGTGTCTTCCCTGGGAAAAAGAAGAGACTGGGTTCTGCAGGTGGCTGGGATTTTGGGGATGTGTGGTGGGTGGAAGGGATCACTCAGAGCCCAGCATGCTGCATGGGAGAAAGGGACAAATTCCGCCCTGGAAAAATCTCCCATGGCCCAGAGGTGTCTCCAGTGTTTAATTTATTTCACTTGTCCCAGTCCCTGGTTTGGATTGAGCTAGGAAGAAGTGAACCAGGGGTTGGTGGTTCTCCTCTGACCCGGGGGTCCCTGGATTGGGGAGTCACAGGGACAGGGCTGCTCCTGTGTTCCTCTGATCATTTCTCTGGCCAACATGCAGATTTGGGGTTGTTTTCCCAAGAAAAAAAGGCTTTTGTGATGCTGGGGTGTCTCTCTGGAGTGGTCTCGGCATGGGGACCTTTGGCCAGGAACGCTGCACTGGCAGGGCCGGTGCCTCAGGCCCGTTTTGGGGAGCAGGGATGGGGCCAGGCTTGGAGTTTGGATCCTGGCTCCCAGCCTGGGGAGGTTAATGGTTCACCAAGATCGGCCGGAGGGAAGGGGCGGCAGGGGGAGTGGAGTGGCTGCGCTGCCAGCGGCGTGTCCCTGTGGGGACAGGGTGGGACCATCCCCAGCCACCGTGGCTCGGCCTTGCTGCTGGCCTTGCCACCTGCTGGGGGTGGTGCCTCCCTGCTGTGCCAGCTGAGAAATCCCCAAATGCCCTGTGAGCCTGAGCATGCCAAGGAGGGCACGGAATGACGCACGGAGCAGGATGTGCCGCTGCTCTTGGTGCACGGAGCTTTTGGCTTGGGGGTGCCCAGGTGCTCCCTGCTCTGGGGACAGCCCTGATTGCCCAGGGCCACCTCTGGCATGGTCCAGAGCTTCCTGGGGATGAGCCTCCTCCATTCCACCCCCACATCCCGTCCCATCCCTCCTGCCCCAGCTGCTCATCCCTCTCATCCCACCTCCCGCCGGTGTCCCTGGGTGCCCTCCCGGCATCCTGGTGGCCCCATTCCCGTACGAGTCGTGCTTTTCTGGGCGGGGGCTGTGTCCCCCTCTCCGCAGGCAGCCGGGCCAGCATCCAGACTGCCCTGAGGACGCTGCTGGCTGTGCCCTGGCCCTCGCAGCGCGATGTCGGCTCCGTGCTCCAGCTCCTGGCCGTGCTGCAGTGGGTGCTCAGCTTCCTGCTGCTGGGTGAGTGAGCAGGGGGCTGCGGGGGATCCCGGGGGGACACACAGCCGCTCATCCCCTGCTGTGCTCCCGCAGGAACCGTCAGCCTCCTGCTGCTCATCTACCTGCTGTTCACCAGCCTCTGGCTCATCCCCGTGTTCTACGTGGCCTGGATCATCTTCGACTGGGACACGCCGGAGAAAGGTGTGCTGGCCGTGTCCCCGCTTCCTCCAGCTTTGCAGCAGGATGAGAGTGGGGTCCCCCTTTCTCCAGGTTCCTCCTAAAATATGAGGAGCTCCACATTTCCCCCTGCTCCTTCCCTCCGCTCCCCCACCATCAGCACCACGGTGGGAAGAGGGATGCAGGAGGTCCATGGGGAGCGTTCCCCTTGGATCCTGCTGCCCCCTGGGCTGGGCTAGGTTGGGCTGGGCTGAGCTGGGCATCATCTCCTGGGGCCCCTCCCGGCTTTGCAGGTGGCAGGAGGCTGTCGTGCCTGCGGCGATGGACCGTGTGGAAGCACTTTCGGGATTATTTCCCGGTGAAGGTACGGCGCTGGGACGGGGTGGGACCACCCAAAAGGAGATGCCACGGTCACATTCCCGTGACTCCTTTTGTCCCCGCAGCTGGTGAAGACACACGACCTGTCCCCCAGCCACAACTACATCATAGGCTCGCACCCCCACGGCATCCTCTGCGTCGGCGCCTTCTGCAATTTCATCACGGGCTCCACGGGCTTCGAGGAGCTGTTCCCGGGCATCCGCTCCTCCCTCACCACGCTGGCCGGAAATTTCCGCCTGCCCGTGTTTCGGGAGTACCTGATGAGTGGGGGTGAGCGGTCCCTGTCCTGCCCAGCTCGGGTGGGGCTCCGATCCCTCTGAGGGAAACACGGCAGGGATGCTGCTCCAGGGAAGAGGCAGGGGCAGGGATGCTGCTCTGCTTGCATTGTGCCTGAGCGACAGCTTCACCTCGCACCTTGACTACACCTTGCCCACACCCTGCCTGCAACCTGCGTGAGCTGCACCTTCACCCTGCCTACACCCTGTCTGTACAGCTCCTACGCCTTGCTTGTTCCTTGTCTACACCCTGCTGTACCCTCTGCCCTCACTGCCCCCACCCTGCCCTCGCCTCACCCTGCCCGCACCTTTTCCATCCCTTGCCCGCACCTTTTCCACCCCCTGCCCGCACCTTTCCCACCCCCTGCCCGCTCCCTGCCCGCAGCAGAGGGAGCCCTTGCACTGTCGTCGCCCTGGTCCCACCAGGTGCCATCGCTCGGGGGGACCCTCGGCGGTCCCTGTCGGGTGTCCGGGCACTGCAGTGTCACAGCCCCGGTGCTCCGTCCCGCCGCAGGGCTGTTCCCGGTGACCCGCCGCGCCATCGGGTACCTGCTGTCCCAGAACGGCACCGGCAATGCGGTGGCCATCGTCATCGGCGGCGCGGCCGAGTCGCTGTCCTGCCGGCCCGGTGTCACCACGCTCATCCTCAAGAACCGCAAGGGCTTCGTCCGCATGGCCCTGCGGCACGGGTGGGTCACGGCTGGGTCACCAGCACTGCCACCCCCGCGGGTCCCGGCGGTCCCCAGCGCCCCGTCACCACCCACCGTGTCCCCTCCTCAGGGCCTTCCTCGTCCCCTCCTTCTCCTTTGGGGAGAACGACCTGTTCCGCCAGGTGGTTTTTGAGGAGGGCAGCTGGATGAGGAGCATCCAGCGGCGCTTCCAGAAGATGATGGGCTTCGCTCCCTGCCTCTTCTACGGCCGCGGCCTCACCTCCTGCCGCTCCCGCGGCTTCCTGCCCTACGCCAGACCCATCACCACCGTGGGTGAGCCGTGGGGCTGGGGACACTGCTGGGGACACCCCCAGGGTGGGGAGGGGTAAGGGGACACTCCTCAGTGGGTGGTGCTGGAAGGCACCTCCTGGATTGTGTCCCCAATCGAGGTGAGCCCGTCGCCACCACGCTGACTCCGTCCCTGTCCCCTGTCCCCTGCCGGCAGTGGGGGAGCCGCTGGCCGTGCCCAAGGTGGAGAACCCGAGCCGGGAGCTGGTGGATCGGTACCACGAGCTCTACATCAGTGCCCTGCTCAAGCTCTTCAACGAGAACAAAACCAAGTATGGGCTGTCCGAGTCAGACGAGCTGCACATCCTCTGAGTGCCACCGGCACCGGCCCCGTCCTGGCTCATGAGGGCTCTTGCAAGGGGTATTTCAGCCAGCCTGGCATGGGGGACAGACAGGGGACAGTCCCCACTCTGGCTTTCTGTTCCTCCGACCTCAGGGGAGGTGGGAGGAGAGTGGGAAGTGAGGGGAAGATTGGGAAAGGCTCCCCCTTGCAGGGGTTTGGAGGGGCTGTAGGTGACACAGCTGTTCCCTGCAAGGGACTGGTGTGGGGCTAGGGCCAGCAATGGGCACAATGTCCCCATGGGACAACCAGGTCACCACAAGCTGAGGGAGGGGTGTCATGGGAGGAGGGATTGACATGGGGTTTTTGGGGTGGCATCCTGATGACGAGGGGGACCACCCTGGGGTGGAAGGGGGACACTCCTGGACTGGAGGACCTGTGGATGTAGCCTGAGCCAGGACCATGTGGCCCCAGATGAGCCTTTCCTGCCATCTCCATACCCAATACAGATTTCCAACCTCCCAACACCTGTCTGTGTGTGTTCCAGTGTTTGGGATTGGCAGCAGTGTGGCAGTACCCCTGCACTGCCCATGTGGGTGTGCTTGCCCCCCAGTGTGTCCCCTCCCTGGCAGTCCCATCTCCTGCTGGGACAGTGTTTGGCAGGGTCCTTGCACCACTCAGGTGCAAACAGCTCCCACGTGCACCTGAGCCATATTGGATATAATGGAAGGTGAGGGGCAGCTCTTACTGGTTTAACTGGGCTCAGGAGGGAGGTGTCCTGCTTTCTCTGCTCTTGGCTCAGTGGTGAGTGAGGGTCTCTCTGGGTGGGACAGGGGTGTGGGGCTGGGATGGGCCATCCCTGGGGTCCTCTCCTTCCCCCGACAGCTCTTGTGGGACGTGACACCCCAGTGACGCCCTGGGTGCCCCTTTCTTAGGCATGTGCTGGCAGGACTTGCAGGGAGTGATGGGGACAGCCCCTCCTGGGGCTCTTGGAGTGGGGACAGCCCTGTCCTTGTCCCATCCCTGCCAGGCTGGCGTGGGAGAGTCAACAGCACTGATACCAATCTCAGAGCGCTGCTCTGCGCAGGCACTTGGTCAAACAAAAGGGTTGGGTAAACATTTGAGGAGCAAACACCCATAAAGGGAAATTCCCAAGAACCTTCCTGTCACCACGGGAACTCCGGCTCATCCCTCCAGACCTGTCCCAGTGGATTTTCTGTGGGGTGAGGGTAATTGTCTTGTGTGTCTTCCTTATGCTGCAGGGAGAAACAGGCCTGAGTGTTGAGAAGGGAGGGGCTTTATTTGGGGTCATGGGCAGCAAGTGCCCCAGGCCATGTCACTCCCCCTCTGTCAAGGCCAGCAGTGTGACGGGGACATCTCTGACCCACTCAGTGTGGGCTCTGTCCCCAGGTTCAGTCTGGTCCCCGCATGTCACCACTGAGTCATCTGGAAGAGCTATGCCTGCCCAGGGAGGCACAAGTGTCCTTTCTCTTTAGTGACTTGTCAGCCCCATGTGTCCCAAAGAATGCCAGGGATGGAACAGCAGCCTGCTGCCCCAAAAGAGCCTCCTCAGCGTCCTTCCCATTCCCGCAAGTGCCTGGTGGCTGTCCTGCCCTGACCAGCACCAGCACCCTCCTCCCACGGCCTCCCAGGGCAGGGCTGGGACAAACCTGTGCCCTTCAGCTCTGCAGGGCTGGGCAGGGACAGCTCAGGTTTGGGGACTTGGGAGTGCCCACACGGAGCCCTGAGGGGCTGAGGCTACAGAACCCTCTCAGCACCCGCCCCCACTGCGTGCAGACCCGGTCCCTCGGGTGACACTGGCCCCGTGGCTGCTATCTGTGACATCAGCGAAGGGTGACACCAGCGCCAGGTCCAGCGTGGGCACGGGCCGGAGGCGCTGGGCGGCCCCGCGGCGCAGCCGTCCCCGGTACTTGTCCCCAGCCATGAAGTAGAGGATGGGATCCAAGCAGCTGTTGATGCTGGCCAGCGGCCGTGTGATCTTGTAGGTGAAGTTGATGATGTTGAGGGTGCGGCAGTCGGCCTGGAAGTAGCGGGAGGTGTAGTAGAGGGTGCGGGTGATGTGGAAGGGCACGAAGCAGATGGCGAACACGGTGAGCACCACGATGATCATCTTGATGGAGCGCCTCTTGTAGGAGGGCATCTGCAGGCTGGGGCTGGGGAAGCTGGGCTTGCAGAGCCGCTTGGCCATCAGGCAGTAGCACAGCACGATGACCAGGAAGGGCACCCCGAAGAGCAGGGCCATGATGGAGGAGCTGTAGTGCACGTAGTGGTCAAACTCCTCGGGCTTGGTGGTGTCGTGGCACAGGGTGATGTTGCCCTTGGAGCTGGTGGTGACGAAGATGAGGTTGGGGATGAGGCAGATGGTGACCACGAGCCAGGCGGCCACGCAGATGATGCGAGCCTGCTTGGTCTTCACCCACTTGAGGGAGCGGATGGGGTGGCAGATGCCCATGTAGCGGTGCACGCTGATGCAGGTGAGGAAGAGGATGCTGCTGTAGAGGTTGGCGTAGAAGAGGAAGCGCACGATCTTACAAAGCCACGTCCCAAAGGGCCAATTGTTGCGGTCGGCATAATAATAGACCAGGGTGGGCAGGGACAGGACGTAGAGCGTGTCTGAGAGGGCCAGGTTGACCATGTATGTGGTGGTGGCATTCCAGGGCCTCATCCTGGAGATGAACATCCACAGGGCCCAGGAGTTGAGGGGCAGCCCCACCACGAAGACGATGCTGTAGGAGATGGGCAGCAGGATGAACTTGAACTCTTCGTTGAAGACACACTTTGCCTCGGCTGCTGCTGTGGTGTTCTCTCCTGGCCAGGGAGTTGGCGTCGGTGTCCACAGGGAAACTGGGAACATCCTCACTGGAGTGGCCATGCTGTGCCAGCCAGACCTAGGGAGCAGTTCATAAAAGCACACTAGTCACTGATCCCGACCATTGTCAGGCACAAAGCGTGGAAAGGAGCCAAAGCTGCCAGATTTTCTCCCCCTCCAGGAGCTCCAGCCACTTTGATGGTTCTCTGGTTTTTCTCAACTCGGAGTGGGCTCGGCAAAGCCTCCCCTCCACAGCCCCTGCGCTGACACCCATTAATAACCCATTAATCATCCATGAATCACCCTTTGGAGCTGGGAGCTGGCAGGGGACATAGAGCCCCGCTCTGGGGACAGAGCCCCGGCGGGCACAGCCCCACGGCCGCCGAACAATGAGACCTTGATGAGCACCAGCAGCCCCGGCCGGGGCCAGCTCAGCCTCTTGGAAGCTGCCTCGGCTTAATTGGCACCATCCTGACAATGCCGCTGCTCCCGGAGGGCTCCTTGGGAGAAGAAAGGCAGGAGGAGAAGAAAGGCTTGTCTGGGGGAATGCTGTGGCCCAGAGAAATCCTGGGGGGGCTATTAAAGGAGCCTTTGGGAAGCGAGGAGCCGCTGGCTGCTGGGTGTTGTCCGTAGGGAAGGGATGAGCTGAGCCCAGTGGAGAGAGGCTGGAGCCAAGTCCCAGCTCAAGGCAGACAGGACGCTCCCTCCTGCAACAGGATCAAAGGCTGGGATCTGTGAACTCCTGAGAAGTCAGCATGGGGACGAGCTGTCAAAGCTCAGAACTCTCCTCTGGAGGGGAAATGGAGGGTCTGCCACCACCACGGTGTCCAGCAAAGGACCAGTGAGGGCAGCCTGTGCCTCCACTATCCCTGGTGAAACGATTCCTCCATTGGAGGATGGATGCTCGGATGAGTAACCTGAAGAGGAGCTGCTGTGCTCCTGGTGGAGATGAGGGTGTAGCCAAAACTGTATTTGATGGAGGGAATGCTGGAGCATCTCAAATTCCTTTTGTCCAGAGCTCTCCCAGGAGGTGATGGGCGCCAGGGCAGGGGAGGACTCAGGGCTCAGGGATGCACATAGCTGGAGCTGGTGCTACAAGGTGGAAGGACACATCCTCTCAGGCTCCTTCATCCCTTGGCTCCCTCATCATCCCCCTCCCGCTTCCCTTCACCCTGAGGATGTGCAGGCTTCTCCCAGCAGGAATATCCCATAGGGTGGATCTGTGGGATCATCCCTGCCACACCCTGCTTGGAGAGACACCTGAGGTTGACAGAGATGTTCATAAATGATTCAGCAGGCAGATGGGACAGCGGGGCCCCTCCAGGCATCCTCCCGGGGCTCTGTTTGAGTTGCGGGCTGAGCTCCAGGCCCACATCCAACACCCTGCAGCTCCTGGCCCGCCACAGCTCCCGCCTTTATTGCAGGGATGAGTTCAGAGAGCAACAGGCAGGTCCTGATCAAACATTAACAGTGGGGAGAACTTGGTTTGTTTTCCCAGAGCCAGGAGGGAAAACAGGTGATAGGAAAACCTGAGTTTGCAAGCGAGGTGCCAGTGGTGGTCCTGGCCCGGCAGCCACATGTCCCCAAACTGCTGAGGACAGGAGAGACCAGGAGATTTAGTTTCCTCTTCCAACCTCTGAATGCAAGGAAGCACAAAGCCTTGAGCCTGATCAGAGCAGAGTTACAGGTTCAGTGCCCAAAATCAGTGTCCATGACACAGGTCACCAACCAATTAAGATACACAGAAGACAGTTAATAAAAGTTAATAATCAAGTGTGAAAATGCATAAGGAAACATCCTGAGCAGCTGTGGACTGCTGTACTGCTCAGAGGAGAGTACAGGCACCTGGCTTCTGGCAGCTGATACAGCCTGAGCACAGTCAGCAGTGGGATTTAACCATTCTCTAGCACATTCCTTTGAGGATAACCACCAAAATACAGAACTGCAGAAGATGACATTTGGCAAGTTATATTTTAACAGGTTTGTTGCTTCCTCATCTTAGTCATGACCAAAATCAGTGATTGAAATTACTGAATCACAGCAGTCTAGTCTGAGGACACATCACCACCAGCCCCACTCCTAATCTTTGCTGACATTCCTAGCAAAACTAACCTTGGCCCTGGGCTTTTGAGGAGGGATCGAGGTGTGAGCCAAGAGTTGGGACTGAGCAGGAAATGGAAGGGACTGCAGGAGAAGGATGTGGAGCAGGGAGATGGAAGGGACTGCAGGGAAAGGACTTAGCAGGGAGATGGAAGGTGCTGCATGGGAAGGACTTGGAGCAGGCAGATGGAAGGGACTGCAGAAGAAAGATGTGGAGCAGGGAGATGGAAGGTGCTGCAGGGAGAGGTGATGCTCTAGTTCTGCCCATTTTGTGGATGTACAAGGAATGTTGCAGAATCCCTTGCCCATGGCAGGCACATCCCTCAGGGCTGGTGCCTTTGGAGTGGCCAAGGAAGCAGCAAGAAGTCCTGGAAAATGCAGCAATAGCCAATAGTGGGAAGGGGCAGTGGTTAGCCATGGGCCACATGATGCCCTTGGCCACTGGATTGGCAGCTTTTCCCTGGCTCTTGGTCCTGCAGACATGCCCAGCCAGAGCTGTCCTTTAGCCCTGCCAGCAGCACCAGTCCTGGTGGGATCCAAGGGTTCCCCCAGCCCTGGGGGTTCATGGAGGTGTTGGAAAAGCTCCAGTGTTGGGAAGGATGAATTAGGGAAACCTTATAAATACGAGTGCCTAGCAAAAGACTTTGAGAATACGGAAAATAGAAGCGAAATAGAAATGAGAGCAATTTTCGACTGTGTGGCTGAAAGCAACTGAATGCCTGAAGGCCCCTTTGTTTAGATAATGTTAGATGCTGTGAATACCAAAAAGCAAGCAGACATCCTCCCTAGGCATGGCAGGAAGGGTCCCAGATAAAATTTAAAGATAAGAAAAGGAGTAAAACATGGTAATAGAGTAATTCCTATAGGTTGCATGCAAATGTTAGAGATTTTGTATCTTGTATTAGATTGGTTAGTAGAAATTAGAATATTCAATATAGAAGAAGATTTATTGTATTGTAAACGGGAAAATCACTTCTCTTCACTCTTACGCTCTTTCCGTCTTACTTTCTTACTCTCTTCACTCTTATTCTCCTCTCTTTTTCTCTCTTTGCCCTTACTCTCTTGCTCTCTCACTCCCTTACACTCTCTTACTTCTACTTACCTTCTCTTACTCTCACTCTATCCCTCTCTCCGTCCTGCTCTGAGCTGTGGCTGCAGTTCCTTGCAGGGCCTCATATATACCCACACCCTACCAAATAAACTGCAAACTTCAAGACCAGAATACAGAGAGTGCCTGAGTTTGTCCCGACCGTCCCCACGCAGTATTTCCTACACTCCAGTAAAGTGAAGAAATGAGACAACACCAGAGCAGACTCTGCCCCGGAGCTAAGATCCTGCTGGTGGGACAGGATGGGAATTGTGGTGTTGGGGATCATGGAACAGCAGGCAGGAGCTCAGAGAGGGGAGTGAGAGCAGATTTTGGAGCAGCTGACAAAGGATGGGTGAGCCTGGGACTGGGTCTTACTGGAGTATGGGAAAACAGGGCTTTTCTCCTGCCTAAGCCCTTGGAAATTGCAAAACAAGGAGAAATTATGCAAAACATCCTGCAGAAAGACCCTTGTCCCTAATCGCCACGTGGTTGGTGCAGCCAAAGCTCTGGCACAAGGGGATGTGACCTAATTCCAATCCTTCCCTTGGCCTGGAAGAGCAGCCAAGGCACGCTCTGCTGGGACAGATCCCCAGGGGCACCAGTGGGGTCGGGTGTTTCCCTTGCTGTCCACCCCATCCCCTGCCCTGAGGTGACCCTGGGCAGGGTGGGGGTTCCCTTCCACCCTGGGCTGTCCCTGTCCCCCACCTCGCTGGGAACGGGCAGGAGCCCACAGTGTGGGCTGAGCCATGGCAGCAGCAGGGCAGCTTCAACCCATGAGGAGATGGAGATTTGGGGGATGGAGAGGAGGATGAAGGAGAGGACGGGGCCACACTGGGAAGGATGAAGGCCCTCGGTGATAGAGGAAGGAGGTGACATGTTAAAGAGAAGGATGTACAGACACAGTTGGGGGTGGAGGAGAGCTGGTGAGAACTGGCTGACCCCCACCCTGCACCCATGCAGCCCTGCAGATCCCACCTCTGTCCCTCGCCCCCGGAGCCCAGCTGGGACTGCGTGACCATGGCGGGGCTGTCCCGGCTGTCACCAAACAGGGGCTGCCCCAGCTCACCTGCAGACCTGGGCGGCTCTCAGGAGTGGGGCCCCCACGGGCACAGCCTGTTCCCCACGCGGGACGGGGCCATGCCGGGGGGCTGTGGGCGGCCCTGGCCGTGCCCTGCCGTGCCGAGTGTGCCCGCTCCCGCTTCCCGCGGCCGGGAGCAAAGTGCCCAAAGGCAGGGCTGGAGGCGGGCAGAGGCGGAGGCAGGAGCTGCCGCAGGGCTCAGCCCCATTGCATTCCCATCCCTCTGGTGCCCTCGCAGGCTTTGGACCACCTGCAGCCCCCCTTAATGGGGCATGCTGGCCTCTCCCATGGGGTCACAGGAGCACCACGGCCCCTCAACCACGAGGGCACAGCTCCTCCATCCATGGGCACCGTGTCCCCCCGCCCATGGCGACCACATCCCTCCACCCATGGGGACCGTGGTCACTCAACCACAAGGTCCATAGTCCCCCACCCATGGGTTGTGTCCCTCCGCCCATGGGGACCACGTCCCTTCACTCATGGGGACCACAGTCCCTCAGCCACGAGGATCAGAGCCCCCATCCCTGGGTCTGTGGCCCCTCGCCCGCCCCAGGACAGCCCCCCTGCCCCGCTGGCTCCCGGGGTCCCGCAGTGCCCGCAGCACTGTTCCGCTGGCCCCCAGCCCTGCGGGCCAATCCCGAGGACAAGGGTGGCCACTGCCACCTTGAGGCCATCCTGGGCATCGTGTTCCCAAAACCGGGGCCACCCCGCGTGTCGCACAGCCAGGACACTGCCGGATCGGGGTGTCCCTGTGTTTTTGAGGGGGCGTCCCTCTCCCTGTGGCGGGTAAGGGCTGAGAGACCAGTCAGCTTTGCGATGGGCAAAGGCAGCCTCCAGGGCCGGGTTCCCACGGAACGGGGATAGGTGGGGGGCTGTTGGAGCCTTGGAGCGTCCAGGACACCGGGAGCCACTGTTTTCCCGACTTGGCTTGTCTCTTTTTTTCCCTGCCCTTTCTCAGAACCAGATGCACACGCACCCAGTCCCTGACATTTTATTCTGGATGGTGATAGCAAAAGGAACCACGGGAGCTTCGCTGCAGGGAAAATCCTCCGGGAGCACAGTCTGAGCAGGGCAGGGCAGAGCAGGAGGGAGCAGCTGCCGAGGGCACGAGGGTGCACAGGGCTGGGCACAGCTGTCGCTACATCCTGGCAGGCTGCAGGTCGGCGGGAGGAGGAGGTTGAGCCTCCAGGTCCAAAGCGCCCAGCGCTCCTCTCTTCCCGAGCGGCTTCGGCACATCCCGGCTCGGCCGCGGCGGCGGCTCCAGGACCTGCTGGGTCTGGCGCAGTGGGACCTCCTGTCTGTCCCCCCTGCCCTGCGGTGACACCTGGTCCAGCTGGCTCAGGTGAGGGGCCACATACAGTGAGCAGTCGCCCAGCCCCACCGTGTCCCTCGTCAGGACGGCCGACTTGGGTCTCTTGTGGTGGCCCGCTCTGGAGGGGCTGAGTGGGTGCCCACGAGATGGGCTTGGTGGCCCACAGTGGGGCCGGCCACACCACTGCTCCTCCTCTGAGGGCAGCGGGACCCGCGGGCCAGCGGGGCTCCGGCACGGCTGGCCCCCGGCCGGGCCCTCTACCTGCTTTTTGGAGGATTCTCCGGGGGCCGGGAGCCACGCGTTGGGGACCCCCTCGAAGATGAAGTAAGCGGGGTTGGTGTAGCCGGTGGCTGGCTCCGGGAGGCTGCGGGGGCGGCTCCTGCGAAGAACAAAGAGGGAAAGGGCTCAGCATCCCCCCAGTCTGGGGCTCCGGTACGGCTGAGCCCACCTGGGGTACCTGAGGCGCTGCGGGGGTGGCTTGGGGCACATCGGGGGCTCTGCCGCCGGCTCAGCATCCTCCTCCTCAAAGCTGATCCACTCTGCAAAGGCAGCGGGGTCTGGCCTCACCCCACGGCTGAGGGCCAGAGGGTAACGTGGCCCGGGCTGTCCCCGAGCCCAGGGCACCGGGAGGGGGCTGTGTGTTACCGTAGAGCCTCTCGCGGGTACCGCAGCGGCCCCGGGGGACCCGGACCCGCATCCAACCGCGCACCGAGCCCGTCTCCTCGCCACGGTGGAACAGGAAGGTCTCGAACTGCTGGGCCGTGCTGCCGATCGCTGACCTCAGGGCGAGGCAGCACTCACCTGCGGGCACAGCATCAGCCCCCGGGGCTCGGGGGACACGGGAGCTCCCCGTGAGCAGCAGCACCCGGAGCAGAGTGGGTGCCAGGCTCCCTCCTGCCGAACTCCCGGTAGCTCCGTGTGAGCTACCAACCTCACACCCAGCAGGTTGTAACCTGTTCTTGGCACCCTCATGCCACCATGGTGGTCCCAGTGCCACCATCCCCACGTACCGTAGGACTCGCAGCTCTCCACGCCCTTGATGCTGAGGAGCAGGTGCTGGTCCCCCAGGTACTCCAGGTCGGGCAGGATGGGGTTCAGCTGTGTACAGAGAGGGAGATTTTGGCGGAGCTGCCACAGGGTAAGGGGCACAGGGAGGCTCTGTCCTGGGGAGCAGTGACAGCTCCTTGGGACTCAGGGTACGGAGCCAGAGGCAGGGATGAGGATGAGGATGAGGATGAGGATGAGGATGAGGATGAGGATGAGGATGAGGATGAGGATGCTGCAGGGCTGCGTACCACAGGCAGATGCTTGGAGGACCAGCCCAGCTTGAGGAAGCCAGGGATGTCACAGCTCTGGAAGGTGTTCTCCCCACTCCGCTGCATTTCTGAGGAGGTACAGAGGGGCACACAGCTCCAGCCAAGCCAGCTCACCCCCACAGCCACCCCCAGCACCCCAGGCGCCCCCTCACCCTCCAGGCAGTAGGAGTGGAACTCGATGTAGCACTTGCTGCGGCTCGTGGTTTTCAGGATCACCTCGATGCTCTCCCACTCGATGCAGGCCAGCGCCTCGGGGCTGGAGCCGGGAGCTGCAGGCAGGTCCTGGCAGGTCAGAGTGTGGTGGGTTCACCACAAACCCAGCCCCAAGGGTGGCAGATCACAACCCTTACCCTCCTTGGGCACAAACTGCGATGTCACTCCCACCTCAAAGGTGGCAAAGACAGGCGAGTGATCACTGGTTACGATGTCATCGGTGCAGCCTGGATGGCAGGAGGGGCAACTTGGGGAGGGTCCCAAAGCCTGGGGGGTCCTGGGCAGCACTGGCCACCCCTGGCTGCTGTGTGCCCGGGGTGTCACTCACCGTAGGAGTTACAGACCACGT